CATTATATTTTTGTGGAACATTGTAAAAATTATTAAAGTTTCTTCTATTTTATTGGTCTTGTTACCAGTAAAATGCAAATTCCCTCTTCAAAGCCATAACTTTAGTTATAGACATAATAGTATGAATTGGGAAATTAATAATTCCAGTCTAGGAATTTTGACTAACATTCGCTGGAGACTTGGGGTCAAATAGCGGCTCTGTGTGAAGGTCTCGATACCTACCTATATAGCCTCATTTATCCATTCCACATGCACGATTACATCCAACACTAGTTACTATTCACATCAGGCCTACGTGTGCTAATAAAAGATATGATATGACCACAACTCTTCAAATGTTGATGAATTTATTTCTCCCCAGACAAGAGGGAAGCTATTTCCAGGGCCCACTTGCACAAAGGGACTGTAGTGCTGTGACTGTGACTCCATTCATGGCATTAGAAATACTTTGTGCACGTGGACACAGGACCAAATAATAATAATAATAATAATAATATGCACATATTTATAGTGCATCAAATCCATTATCTAAAGCAGGCTCAAAGCGCTACATTATCACCCCAGTCAAAGGATCAGTGTGCACTCAATTTTCAATATCAGCTCCCTGGGGAGTATACAACAAGTTGTCTGTGAAGCGCTAGTAGGTTAACAGTCACATTACCATCTCATCCTACTAGGTACCCATTCAGTGCTGAGTGGACTGCGGCATATTTAAACAAAGTCACATGCCAAAGGAGACACCACGTGCTACATGAGCTTCAGTGAGAAGCCCTACAAACTCAGAAATCAAGCTGCAGAAACATGGTCACCCATCCAACTACCGGTACTCGCCACGACCAACGTTGCCTAACTCCAAATTATGAGTCACTTGTACACTGTCATCTGTTGTTACCAAATATTTGATACCCAGAAATATCATTTCAAAGAGAACTCTCTTTATTGTAAAATTGTATAAAACATGTAAACATTTAAATATACTACACGATATTCATGTTGCCTTACATATGTTGCAAAAGGCTACATTTTTTAGAAATTTGGGATAAGAACACTATATACCGTATTTGACGTAATAAATGCCACGCTCTAATAAGCGATACCTGCTATTATATTTGAATAGTGAACAATCCCAATAAGCACCCCTTCTGATTGATCAATGTACACAATGTATTCGTGTATAATCTGCACTCGTGTGTTATATGCACCCTTAATTATGGGCAATTAAATTCTGGAAAATATATCTGTCGTATGTAAACATTTCAGGCTGTCAGTATGAACCACGAAATTTACGATCTTTCAACACCATTTTTTCAACAAAATAATATTCTAATAAGAGCCCCCTATTTCTAATTTTGAGAGCGCCCTGGGTGCTTATTACGTCGAATATGGTATACCGAGTGAAAAGTCCAGATTTCCAGCTTGGAATTCCACCTGGAAATGTTTTCCTAACAACCTATTTGTGTCATACCTAGTCTGTCTCCCAAACCCTAGAGAATAAATTAAAAAAATGAATCCAACTCAAGTCTAGAATTATTTAGCAAGTCTAGATTGCCTCAGTTCAATGAAAATTAATTAAGTATTGTTCTGGGCTCCATTTGGATTTGATTTTATATTTTGTAGATGTATGTTTTTGAATAAGACAACTTTATTTCTGGGACTTAATGTTAGTCTATTGCATACCCATCTATCTGTTTTACAATGCAAGCTGACCTCTCGGACAGGAAGACTGGTCAGCATGTCCAGGTCAGTGGCTTGTTGCTGTAAGTCGGAGCAGCTGATTTCTTCAACTCTGACCTTTGCCCAGACATGGTGTGTCATTACAGTAAAGTGTACCATTGATTATGCGAGTTATATGAGAAGGTCTTTGATCAACTAAAATGTGCCACTGTTTATGATTTTTTTTCCCTGTATATCAATAACTTACATGTATGGTCACAAAATATTAAGGATGTCATTCTGATGGATGTGGAGCACCTGTACAAGAAATCGGGTCATAAAAAAGAGTCACATAGTTTATTGGGTATGTTGTCAAGTGAGTAGGTCTAGCATGACCTAAATTTACATAGCTGTATAATCTATCAACAAACACAAAATCTTTAAATGTCACAGGTGTTGATTGAGTAGTATTTCATCTGTATCCATATTGTTCTTTTGTTGTTTATTTCAAAGTTTCATTTAGCCAGATAGGTTACGATAACCTATGTGTCTACGACCAGTTAAAAAAACCATATTCTTACCAAATCCCATACTCATTTATCCCTCTATCCTTTCAGCAACAGTGACAGTGACACATACACACATGACATTTTTACCTTGTTATGCAGTGGTTTTGCTGGTTAATGTGATCCCTATTATCTACCCTCTATATCCACTGTCCCCTCCCCTTCCTTTAGTCCCTAAACCACCCTCCGCCCTCTCATGTCACGTGTGGTATTCAGCACTTGTTCCAGCCCTTAAAGTGCACAATTAAAAACAGACCAAATCTACTGTGGACAGTGTAACCATGCCGAGCAGGATAGAAACACTGGAATAAACGGGGCCATTCCTTAAAAATAATTTGCAAATAAAATGTAAAATTAAAACCTAAATTAAAGCTTGGAACAAGAACTACAAATGTTCAAATACAATAAGATTTCAGAAAGTAAAGAAGAAAATAAAATAAAATTTGAAAACTTGATGTTAGATTTAAAACTCTTTCATTTTTATTGCTTTATGAGTAGATATATTTGTGTTACCGTATTTGATGTAATAAGCGCCCACGGCAATATTTGCTAATATATTGGCTAGTGAACAATCCCAATTAGCACCCCTTCCGATTGATCAATGTACACATGACTTATTTATTTGTGTATAATATGTGTGTTATTTGCATCCTTAATTATGGGAAATTAAATTCTGGAAAAATATATCTGTCGTATATAAACATTTCAGGCTGTCACCATAAACCACAAAATTTATTATCTTTCAACTCTGTTGTTTTTCACCAAAATAATATTCTAATAAAAGCCCCAGATATATAATTTTGCGAGCGCCCTGGGCGCTTATTATGTCGAATATGGTAATCTATTTATTTCTTATGGAATTAAAAATGCATTGTCTGCAAGAGGTGTCGGCTGGTCAGTCAGTAATCAGCTATCACCATGTGGCATGGTCAAGCCTAAGGGCCAACACAGAGGCTGTAAATGGAATGTACTCTGATAACATCAAAACCACAAGCTCTGCTCATGTCAGAGCAACCCCCCACCACTTGAGTATATAGTATTTCATGGATACAAAGGTCGCAAAGGAAGAACCACATTTGGTATTGATAATATATTATCTGAGTCATATTTCGCCCTATATCATTTCTAGTTTTATACGGTACATTTCCATACTGATAATCAAAAATGGATTCATTTCATTTACAGATATAACAACAGTTAAAGGGAGTCTGAGAAATTGGAATCGCAGCTAGAAGCTCAAACACCAGTTTCTTTGTCAGTAATATTTTATGATGAACATACCCACTGAACAGTCATAAAATTACCCATGTACACGATGTCTCAGTTTCACATGAGACACTAATTACAACACCCAGATCTATACTGAATTATAAGTGAATATAGCCATTGTGCAATGGAGCAGAGACCCTCAAAGGATGCCATCAAGTGCCAAGTATACTCCCCAGGGAGCTGAGAATGAAAATCAAGTGCACACTGAGCCATTGACCGGGGTAATAATAACTAATGCAGCGCCATGACTATTCACATAAGTAGAATTGTCCGCATTATTACTGAACAAAATATGATGTTCAGAGGGATCCTTTCTAAGCAAAATGGACCAACTCATTGTACAGATCTGTGCCACAAGGGACACTGGCTGACTTCATGAATGGTAGCGAGTGACATTTTTTTATACACTGTTGTCAGTAATATTCCAGCTACATATCATGGTGGCCTACAACTGATCAAGTCTAGACAAGATAGACAACTGACTCAAAGCAACAAACCATGCCTGTAGGTAAGATGACAATCAGCCAAGTCATAGAGCCTGACTGACCTCCATTTTAGCCAGCATGGTCAAGAATGAGTTACGGAGATAAGTCGCGCCTAGAATCCCCACAGTGTTGAACGACTGATAGATCCTTGTGAAAAAAACATGTTGCAAAACTAACAATCTTTCATGAGTATTTGTTAACTGAAATTTCTCACAGCAGTTATCGAATTTAGGTTTGTCTGCAGAAGGGAATTCCATCATGAATCTACAAGATAACAGTCAATGACAACCTGTAATCAAGTGCTCCTAGCTTCAAGGAAACTGGCACGACAATCAACAGACCAGTCAAAATAATACCCAAAGAGGAGCAGAATTCTGTCATCTGGCAGTCAATCAATTTTGTGGATATGAGTCACCACTGCTTACCTTAAGATTAGTTTTCAGGTATAAAATGGGTGCAAAAATCAAAATAAATAAATGGGGTTTTGCAGTGTTAGAACTGCCAATTGATGTAGCTATTCCTTGTGTATATGACATTATTTAAAAAATCAAATACACAATTTCCACAATACACCACCAGCAGACAGCGGGTATTGATGCAAGTATCATGAGTATGAAATCATTCATTGAATGCTTTTGCATCTTTACTATTATTATTCTGTAAATTGTTGGTACTATTAAGGTATACATGGTTGTGATAAGTTGGGTAAGTAATATAAATGAATAAACTTATCACAACAATAACAATATTGATTAAAAAAAATGATCGTTGTTTAATATTTTCAGTTCTAACTGTAATTAGATCTATATGATAATCGAATCTATTCTATTTCTTCTAATACATTTAGGAATATATACATACTCTGACACATCGATCAATTATCCAATTCAATACAAATTATATTTGTATGTTAAACAACATTTTCTCATTTGCAGTTTTGCCAAAGACGTATATACGTCTTTGGTTTTGCATATAGTTTCCATGCCCCTGAATGATTCGTCTGAGCCATGATAAACAGTCTGCTTACCTCGACTTGCGCGGCCAAAATCGGTCATATCTTGAGCATCCGCCATTTCCAAACGGAAAGTAATTCCCCTTGATGTTTTAGTTTAGTTTTGTTTTTGAAATATCAAATCATCTTTTACATAATCACGGTATCGGCATGAATCACATTTTACAAGATGACAGCAACAGTACATGAGGAAGTAAACAGTTATCTCCCCTAACATCAATAGATGGCGTTGACTTCAGTCAAAACAGGAAGTTGTCAGAGTGCACATGGCGATTATTGTGATTTTGTCTCCATGCTTTTAAAGTAATCTATTGCATGTTACCAAGAAAGGATTACAATGCGGGAAACACCTTTATCCAGCTGCGAAAGAGAATTCATTTTGAAAGCAATCACCGAGCACAAGGTTCAGTTGACTGTCTCAATTCTCTCATGTGAACAGACTAGATACTTACTTCATCTGATCAACGTTAATAAATATTTTACAGCATTGTCACCAAGCTTAGTATGGTCATTCTCCACGGAATATGGGAAATATGTGAATAAATCATCTTGCTAAACCTGTCTCTAAGTCAGCCTCACTAAAATAAAAATAAAACATTCTGTTAAAGTCGTATAAAAGTTTCTATTTTTAATATGAAATCATATTCATGGCAATAACGGGCTCTAATTCCTGGACAGAATACATGCCCCCGTACCCCATGCAAATGATACTGGGTAGAGGTGGGATGAGGGATCTTGTGTTTCATCATACCTCATCAACCTTCAGCTTTCATGATGGATTGTGATTGACAATATCTCAAGAACTGTTTTTAGATATCTTCATAATTCCTTTTTTTTGTATTCCTTGTTAGTTTAAAGTAAGTAGTTACAATTTTGACTGCTGGTTCCTATATAAAGGTACAGTACATCATGGGTACTGTTTTTTTTAAATCATGCATGAAATAATTTCTGTGTGTGACTTCACACACCCAAATCAAGTCAGAACTATAGAGATCGAAGCCGACAACACAAATGCTGTGCAGAGTGAACTGGCTTCAGTCATGTTTTATTATGAGAAACACAGGGATTGACTTAGGCCGCGATTCCGCAATATTCTCGCATAGTTGTCATAGATATCGCATCAACATTAATTCAGCGCGATTGATAATACTGTACATCTTTCAATAGTTTTATCCGCATTGACACTCACATTTTCACCTGCAAACATTGAAAAAGTTGTATTGCTTGAATAAAATTATCTACCAGGGATATTTCTAGGCCCACATTTTCAAATACAATGAGGCATTTTAACATTGTGCTGTATGGGCGTACTTCGGGAATATTTGAAATTTTCACATCAAAGGCCCATGTCAGAAGATTCACTGAGTGAACCCTGATCTACTGTATCTAAAAATGTCCCCAAAAAAACTTACTCGATAGTTTCTTCAATCATCAAAAGTTGTCAATCAAATCATTATCGCAACACTGCATGCAATGTCTTACTGTGCATTAATGATTCCTATAGCACTGCATGGAGCTTTGCACTACATTTTTTCATACTTGATTGTATTTACTACTGTCGCTATTTCATGTCATTGCTTTGAATATATTAAATTATGATCTTAACAGACATTGTCGAAGACCTAGAAATTGTTTGTTCCCCACATGCAAACAAAATGAACAGCTGACGGTTGTAAACATGCCTTATCTATAATTATTCTTGCAAATAATTCCTCCTAAAGTCGACAATGAACTGAAATGCCTACATATTTATGTATTTTCCCCTAAACATGCTAAAGTTGACAATGAACAGAAACATAAATACTAATGCATATTTTTGTTGATACTAATACTAATATTTTTAAATATTTACAGTGGAACAATTAATGTTCGAAAATATCGGAGGATGTATTTATATAATCGAGTAACATTAATTGCAACATAATTCGAATAACAAATACCGAATATAAAATACAGTTTCCACTGTGGGAAGACAAAATGTCTATGAAAATTTACAAAATCTCATCACATGCCAAAAAATCTCATTGCTGTTAGATGGGGGGGGGGTTCACTCATAGGTAAAACATTCAAGGTTAATCCTTGGAAACAAATTGAAGAGAAGCTTGTGTGTTTTTCTTATGGATGAGTTGCATAATACAAATTGCCAGCTTGATTTGATAAGAAGCCTGTGTTGATCAAAGCCTATATTACAAGATAAATTGTTGTATGAAGTCTTTCACTCTCCCACACAGATTTTCTTGTGGCCAGCCTAGCACCTCTGTCACATCAGAGACAGCTCATGTGTTGAAAAACTATTTCCTTGTGCATATTTATCCTCATGCTGTAGTCAAAGCCCAACAGAAAGCTAGCGATTCAGTCACATTGATGTGTAAACTATATTGTTATGCACCTCACTGTCACAGTTGTAGTAGTCGATCTTTATAATTATGAGAAACAATATGTTAAGCGCATCAAAATGCTCGCATAAGGTCCTTCTGTTCTTATATCAGAGGGTTGGTCGGGTAGCCTAGTGGTTAAAGTGTTCGCTCGTCACGCCGAAGACCCGGTCCCCCCCCCCCCCCCCCCGGGATATTGCTGGAATATTGCTAAAAGCAACATAAAACCATACTCACTCACTCACTCACTCACTCACTCACTCACTCACTCACTCACTCACTCACTCACTCACTCACTCACTCACTCACTCACTCACTCACTCACTCACTCACTCACTCACTCACTCACTCACTCACTCACTCACTCACTCACTCACTCACTCACTCACTCACTCACTCACTCACTCACTCACTCACTCACTCACTCACTCACTCACTCACTCACTCACTCACTCACTCACTCACTCACTCACTCACTCACTCACTCACTCACTCACTCACTCACTCACTCACTCACTCACTCACTCACTCACTCACTCACTCACTCACTCACTCACTCACTCACTCACTCACTCACTCACTCACTCACTCACTCACTCACTCACTCACTCACTCACTCACTCACTCACTCACTCACTCACTCACTCACTCACTCACTCACTCACTCACTCACTCACTCTTATATCAGAATAAGTGTGTTTGTTTACTAACAAGATGCCAGTCCAGACACTTGATAAGCCTACACCCGTAGTCATTGGAGCAGAAAATTCTGTCATGGAGTAAGGCAAGCACAGCCGAGTGATCTCTGGGGTTAATGGCTATTGTTTACAAACAATGTCAGAACGGTAGACGTACTGTTCGATTAATAAGGATCAAACCACATACTATGATATTAGTGTCAACATTTGTCTGTCTGATCCAAACTTGATTATTTACAAGATGTCATCATGGTCATGCCAAGGTAAGGGGGCCCCGATTTCTAAGTCTCCATGATTTGATATGCAGTGTTGCGTCCCTTAGGCAAGTTAGACGTGCCAGAAACCTATCTTCATGGGTTTAAATCCCAGATTCACCTTGTTTATGTTTGTAGGTTTGTCAGCACCATGTGCATACTTGTGGGTCTCACCAAAGTGGTAAATGTCTTGCACCTGCATCACTTCAGGCTTTCCACGCACATCATCTTAAAGGACTGAAATATTGTTCAAAATGTCGTAATCACAAAACTCATTGAGTCACCTACAGGATGTCATGATTGATATGGCTGTAACACAGCCAACTGAGGCTCAGTTATTTAATTACCCTTGTCACTTCATTGCCCTGTCGTCTTAGGCGCCACATTTTGCTGTGCAGATTTGCGTCCCTTGGGCTCGCCAGAAACCTATGATCTTGGGTTTCAAATTCCAGCTTGCCCCGATTCTGTTTCCAGGTTGGTCAGAACCATACTTCTGTGCTTGTGGGTTTCACCAAAGTGGTAAACGTCTAAGACCTGCATCTCTTCAGGCTTACCTCCCTACGTAAGCTAACATGCTGTGATATAATTGAAATACTGTTTCAAAGCAGCATTAAAACAAACTCATTCACTCACTCATTGCTTTACAGAGATTTGATGGAAGGCAAGCATACGATTACAGGAAAGTAAAGATATCATTTGGAGTCGACCGTGGCTGCTGCCAGGTGCAGTTAGGAGATACGAGGTAAATCTGAAAAGAGTCAATATGCCACGTCACTTGCGTCTCTGAATCTCTTTTCACATCTGTTACAAGCCAGGGAAACTCACCAAAACCCATATTTTAAATTTCTTTTTGAAGTTTTAAGTGTGTCACCTACCTCCTAACCCTAAATATTAATGGGGTGTAACTTGAAACATCTGGAAGGGGGAGGCTGTTGGATCAGCCACTATTATAGTTCAGTTATCAGCTGAGGTGGACCAAACCAATTTTATTTTTAAATATATTCTGTTTAAATGTATTGGTGTTGTATTTTTCAAAGTTATTTACCTAATCAAGTTAGAGTTTCGTTTTGGTAATAGGCAATAAGGGACATATGATGCATGTTTCTGCTTCATGATTACTGTGGTGTTTTTCTGTGTATTTAATTATCATGATTATGACTAATTAGTGCAGCTAATTGACATACCTCTGGGGAATGTTCATGACACTCTATTCAGGGATCATTGGTTTTTCACATTCTGATCATGTTTCTGTGAGTTGAAAAGAGTACACCAGTTACCATGGTTACTGAGTATGTCTGACTCATAGTTGGAACAATTCATGCAAAAATATGATCTGCCAAGTCCATGATGATATTCAGTGTGTCATTCAGAAGTATTATCTGATTATTGAATAATGATTTGCTGTTAAAGAAGTCCAATTAATTGTTATTAGATAGGATTTTATTCATATCAACAGGCAGATGATTATACAAAGTTTCATTTCAGGGTTTTAGCTCAAGTGTCGTGTGAAATCACAGCACCAAAACCTACACGGCCTACAGATGGAGTTTTATTTGTCAATGTGGAGTTGTCTCCCATGGCATCACCGGGCTTTGAAATTGGGAGGTAAGATAGAAAACAATCTCATTAAAATCAGACCTCAGTTCTCGCTGCCGCTTAACAAAGATCTGAAGACATCCCATTAGGGGTCACGTCAGAACGACCTTTCCGACCAATCAGAGCATCGCTTACCCGACGATAGTTACGGGTTTAACAACTGAATCCATACAATCTAGACCATCTATTAGCCATTCCAGAATGTTCTTTTGTTCAGGTTTCAAATTTTTAATCGAGAATTTGTCAAAATATGTTTCGAAGCGTAGTCGCCAATTTGAAATTAGTGCCGTAAAGCACGAGAAAGCTGCCTTCTGATTGGTCATTCCATTGGTCGGTCAAAGTTCGCGCAAGGTCGGTCTGACGTGACCCGTAATGGGATGTCCTCAGATCTTTGTTTAGCGGTAGTGAGAACTAAGGTCTGATTTTAATGAGATTGGATAGAAAACAGTGTCAAGAATCAGATCGATGACTCTGTTTCCATACCTCTTTTTGTCACGATATGACAAACCCTTCAGGGGTCACGTCAAGTCTTGTGATTTTTTTGATCAACCAATCTGTGTGGACAATGCTAACGGCTTTTAAATTCTTGGAACAAATGAGCAATGCATTTGGAGCTGCATATTTGGTTAGCGTATCACAAAAAATGAATGTTAACTGGCAGTTCCGAATGGAAAATATTCAAGGCCATGCTAAAGATATTATAGATAATACAAACATCCTGTAATTCCGGAGCATCATAACATCTGCATGCAAAACGGTTCATTATTAAACAAACTTTGTGTTCTGTGTAGGTTTGTTGTAGTTAATCAAATTTTATGAATGGAGAAGGTAAGGAAATGAAGCCTAATTACTTTAGAAAGCAAGCATCTGATTGGTCCATAGAACCAAAAGCATCTTTCATTTAGAAAGGTCACTCAGGGTTCATTGATGGACCCCCCCTGGAGAGTTTGTTGTCAGATCTTGAGACATTGAGATCACTTAGACATCTGGGCTCCCTTCCACTGAACGATCTTAGCCCTATGTCTGTCATAAGCCTGTCATAGAGTTACGATTCATGTTCACGCAAAGATTGCTTGGTGGATCGAGGCCCAGATTTGAATGAGATTGGATTGTAATCAAGTTTGATGAAACAGGCAAATTGAACTTTGAATGATAAATTGACAATGCAAAGACATGGTAAGCTAATGAAAATATAGTTTCGTAAAATTATAATGTATGTATGTACTTGGTATATGATTTGGATGATTTTTTTCACTGCATATTTTTTTCAGTGATTAGTCATCCCTTAAGGTGGCTTGTAACATGTACACACTCCTCCATTACAGGCCATCCGAGTTTGGTGTAGAGCTGACCCGCCTTCTGGAGCGATGCCTGAAGGAATCCCGATGTGTGGACACAGAGTCTCTGTGTGTTGTGGCAGGGGAGAAGGTAGAGTCTGTGTGTTGTAGCAGGGGAGAAGGTAGAGTCTCTGTGTGTTGTGGCAGGAGAGAAGGTAGAGTCTCTGTGTGTTGTGGCAGGGGAGAACGTAGAGAGTCTCTGTGTGTTGTGGCAGGAGAGAAGGAGGAGAGCCTCTGTGTGTTGTGGCAGGAGAGAAGGTAGAGTCTCTGTGTGTTGTGGCAGGGGAGAAGGTAGAGAGTCTCTGTGTTGTGGCAGGGGAGAATGTAGAGAGTCTCTGTGTGTTGTGGCAGGAGAGAAGGTAGAGAGTCTCTGTGTGTTGTGGCAGGAGAGAAGGTAGAGAGTCTCTGTGTGTTGTGGCAGGGGAGAAGGTAGAGACTCCCTGTGTGTCGTGGCAGGAGAGAAGGTAGAGAGTCTCTGTGTGTTGTGGCAGGGGAGAAGGTAGAGAGTCTCTGTGTGTTGTGGCAGGAGAGAAGGTAGAGAGTCTCTGTGTGTTGTGGCAGGGCAGAAGGTAGAGAGTCTCTGTGTGTTGTGGCAGGGGAGAAGGTAGAGACTCCCTGTGTGTCATGGCAGGAGAGAAGGTAGAGAGTCTCTGTGTGTTGTGGCAGGAGAGAAGGTGGAGAGTCTCTGTGTTGTCGTAGGAGAGAAGGTAGAGAGTCTCTGTGTGTTGTGGCAGGAGAGAAGGTAGAGAGTCTCTGTGTGCTGTGGCAGGGGAGAAGGTAGAGAGCCTGTGTGTTGTGGCAGGGGAGAAGGTAGAGAGTCTCTGTGTGTTGTGGCAGGAGAGAAGGTAGAGAGTCTTTGTGTGTTGTGGCAGGAGAGAAGGTAGAGAGTCTCTGTGTGTTGTGGCAGGGGAGAAGGTAGAGAGTCTCTGTGTGTTGTGGCAGGAGAGAAGGTGGAGAGTCTCTCTGTTGTCGTAGGAGAGAAGGTAGAGAGTCTCTGTGTGTTGTGGCAGGAGAGAAGGTAGAGAGTCTCTGTGTGCTGTGGCAGGGGAGAAGGTAGAGAGCCTGTGTGTTGTGGCAGGGGAGAAGGTAGAGAGTCTCTGTGTGTTGTGGCAGGAGAGAAGGTAGAGAGTCTTTGTGTGTTGTGGCAGGAGAGAAGGTAGAGAGTCTCTGTCTGTTGTGGCAGGAGAGAAGGTAGAGAGTCTCTGTGTGTTGTCGTAGGAGAGAAGGTAGAGAGTCTTTGTGTGTTGTGGCAGGAGAGAAGGTAGAGAGTCTCTGTGTGTTGTGGCAGGAGAGAAGGTAGAGAGTCTTTGTGTGTTGTGGCAGGAGAGAAGGTAGAGAGTCTCTGTGTGTTGTGGCAGGAGAGAAGGTAGAGAGTCTGTGTGTTGTTGCAGGAGAGAAGGTAGAGAGTCTCTGTGTGTTGTGGCAGGAGAGAAGGTAGAGAGTCTCTGTGTTGTGGCAGGGCAGAAGGTAGAGAGTCTCTGTGTGTTGTGGCAGGGGAGAAGGTAGAGACTCCCTGTGTGTCGTGGCAGGAGAGAAGGTAGAGAGTCTCTGTGTGTTGTGGCAGGGGAGAAGGTAGAGAGTCTCTGTGTGTTGTGGCAGGAGAGAAGGTAGAGAGTCTCTGTGTTGTCGTAGGAGAGAAGGTAGAGAGTCTCTGTGTGTTGTGGCAGGAGAGAAGGTAGAGAGTCTCTGTGTGCTGTGGCAGGAGAGAAGGTAGAGAGTCTGTGTGTTGTGGCAGGGGAGAAGGTAGAGAGTCTGTGTGTTGTGGCAGGAGAGAAGGTAGAGAGTCTGTGTGTTGTGGCAGGAGAGAAGGTAGAGAGTCTCTGTGTGTTGTGGCAGGAGAGAAGGTAGAGAGTCTCTGTGTGTTGTGGCAGGAGAGAAGGTAGAGAGTCTTTGTGTGTTGTGGCAGGAGAGAAGGTAGAGAGTCTCTGTGTGTTGTGGCAGGAGAGAAGGTAGAGAGTCTCTGTGTGTTGTGGCAGGAGAGAAGGTAGAGAGTCTCTGTGTGTTGTGGCAGGAGAGAAGGTAGAGAGTCTCTGTGTGTTGTGGCAGGAGAGAAGGTAGAGAGTCTGTGTGTTGTGGCAGGAGAGAAGGTAGAGAGTCTCTGTGTGTTGTGGCAGGAGAGAAGGTAGAGAGTCTCTGTGTTGTGGCAGGGCAGAAGGTAGAGAGTCTCTGTGTGTTGTGGCAGGGGAGAAGGTAGAGAGTCTCCGTGTGTTGTGGTAGGAGAGAAGGTAGAGAGTCTCTGTGTGCTGTGGCAGGGGAGAAGGAAGAGAGTCTCTGTGTGTTGTGGCAGGAGAGAAGGTAGAGAGTCTCTGTGTGTTGTGACAGGAGAGAAGGTAGAGAGTCAATGTGTGTTGTGGGAGGAGAGAAGGTGGAGAATCTGTGTGTTGTGGCAGGAGGGAAGGTGGTGAGTCTGTGTGCTGTGGCAGGGGAGAAGGTAGAGAGTCTCTGTGTGTTGTGGCAGGAGAGAAGGTGGAGAGTCTGTGTGTTGTGGCAGGTGAGAAGGGAGAGTCTGTGTGTTGTGGCAGGAGAGAAGGTAGAGAGTCTCTGTGTTGTGGCAGGAGAGAAGGTAGAGAGTCTGTGTGTTGTGGCAGGAGAGAAGGTAGAGAGTCTCTGTGTGTTGTGGCAGGAGAGAAGGTGGAGAGTCTGTGTGTTGTGGCAGGAGAGAAGGTAGAGGGTCTCTGTGTGTTGTGGCAGGAGAGAAGGTAGAGAGTCTCTGTGTGTTGTGGCAGGAGAGAAGGTAGAGAGTCTTTGTGTGTTGTGGCAGGAGAGAAGGTAGAGTCTCTGTGTGTTGTGGCAGGAGAGAAGGTAGAGAGTCTCTGTGTGTTGTGGCAGGGGAGAAGGTAGAGAGTCTCTGTGTGTTGTGACAGGAGAGAAGGTAGAGAGTCTGTGTGTTGTGGCAGGAGAGAAGGTAGAGAGTCTCTGTGTGTTGTGGTAGGGCAGAAGGTAGAGAGTCTCTGTGTGTTGTGGCAGGAGAGAAGGTAGAGAGTCTCCGTGTGTTGTGGTAGGAGAGAAGGTAGAGAGTCTCTGTGTGTTGTGGTAGGAGAGGAGGTAGAGAGTCTCTGTGTGTTGTGGCAGGGAGAAAAGGTAAAGAGTCTCTGTGTGTTGTGACAGGAGAGAAGGAAGAGAGTCTCTGTGTGTTGTGGCAGGGGAGAAGGAGGAGAGCCTCTGTGTGTTGTGGCAGGGGAGAAGGTAGAGTCTCTGTGTGTTGTGGCAGGAGAGAAGGTAGAGAGTCTCTGTGTGCTGTGGCAGGAGAGAAGGTAGAGAGTCTGTGTGTTGTGGCAGGAGAGAAGGTAGAGAGTCTCTGTGTGTTGTGGCAGGAGAGAAGGTAGAGAGTCTGTGTGTTGTGGCAGGAGAGAAGGTAGAGAGTCTCTGTGTGTTGTGGCAGGAGAGAAGGTAGAGAGTCTCTGTGTTGTGGCAGGAGAGAAGGTAGAGAGTCTTTGTGTGTTGTGGCAGGAGAGAAGGTAGAGAGTCTCTGTGTGTTGTGGCAGGAGAGAAGGTAGAGAGTCTCTGTGTGTTGTGGCAGGAGAGAAGGTAGAGAGTCTCTGTGTGTTGTGGCAGGAGAGAAGGTAGAGAGTCTCTGTGTGTTGTGGCAGGAGAGAAGGTAGAGAGTCTGTGTGTTGTGGCAGGAGAGAAGGTAGAGAGTCTCTGTGTGTTGTGGCAGGAGAGAAGGTAGAGAGTCTCTGTGTTGTGGCAGGGCCCAAGGTAGAGAGTCTCTGTGTGTTGTGGCAGGGGAGAAGGTAGAGAGTCTCCGTGTGTTGTGGTAGGAGAGAAGGTAGAGAGTCTCTGTGTGCTGTGGCAGGGGAGAAGGAAGAGAGTCTCTGTGTGTTGTGGCAGGAGAGAAGGTAGAGAGTCTCTGTGTGTTGTGACAGGAGAGAAGGTAGAGAGTCAATGTGTGTTGTGGGAGGAGAGAAGGTGGAGAGTCTGTGTGTTGTGGCAGGAGAGAAGGTGGAGAGTCTGTGTGCTGTGGCAGGGGAGAAGGTAGAGAGTCTCTGTGTGTTGTGGCAGGAGAGAAGGTGGAGAGTCTGTGTGTTGTGGCAGGTGAGAAGGGAGAGTCTGTGTGTTGTGGCAGGAGAGAAGGTAGAGAGTCTCTGTGTTGTGGCAGGAGAGAAGGTAGAGAGTCTGTGTGTTGTGGCAGGAGAGAAGGTAGAGAGTCTCTGTGTGTTGTGGCAGGAGAGAAGGTGGAGAGTCTGTGTGTTGTGGCAGGAGAGAAGGTAGAGAGTCTCTGTGTGTTGTGGCAGGAGAGAAGGTAGAGAGTCTCTGTGTGTTGTGGCAGGAGAGAAGGTAGAGAGTCTTTGTGTGTTGTGGCAGGAGAGAAGGTAGAGTCTCTGTGTGTTGTGGCAGGAGAGAAGGTAGAGAGTCTCTGTGTGTTGTGGCAGGAGAGAAGGTAGAGAGTCTCTGTGTGTTGTGACAGGAGAGAAGGTAGAGAGTCTGTGTGTTGTGGCAGGAGAGAAGGTAGAGAGTCTCTGTGTGTTGTGGTAGGGCAGAAGGTAGAGAGTCTCTGTGTGTTGTGGCAGGAGAGAAGGTAGAGAGTCTCCGTGTGTTGTGGTAGGAGAGAAGGTAGAGAGTCTCTGTGTGTTGTGGTAGGAGAGGAGGTAGAGAGTCTCTGTGTGTTGTGGCAGGGAGAAAAGGTAAAGAGTCTCTGTGTGTTGTGACAGGAGAGAAGGAAGAGAGTCTCTGTGTGTTGTGGCAGGGGAGAAGGAGGAGAGCCTCTGTGTGTTGTGGCAGGGGAGAAGGTAGAGTCTCTGTGTGTTGTGGCAGGAGAGAAGGTAGAGAGTCTCTGTGTGTTGTGGCAGGGGAGAAGGTAGAGACTCCCTGTGTGTCGTGGCAGGAGAGAAGGTAGAGAGTCTCTGTGTGTTGTGGCAGGGGAGAAGGTAGAGAGTCTCTGTGTGTTGTGGCAGGAGAGAAGGTAGAGAGTCTCTGTGTGTTGTGGCAGGGCAGAAGGTAGAGAGTCTCTGTGTGTTGTGGCAGGAGAGAAGGTGGAGAGTCTCTGTGTTGTCGTAGGAGAGAAGGTAGAGAGTCTCTGTGTGTTGTGGCAGGAGAGAAGGTAGAGAGTCTCTGTGTGCTGTGGCAGGGGAGAAGGTAGAGAGCCTGTGTGTTGTGGCAGGGGAGAAGGTAGAGAGTCTCTGTGTGTTGTGGCAGGGGAGAAGGTAGAGAGTCTCTGTGTGTTGTGGCAGGAGAGAAGGTGGAGAGTCTCTCTGTTGTCGTAGGAGAGAAGGTAGAGAGTCTCTGTGTGTTGTGGCAGGAGAGAAGGTAGAGAGTCTCTGTGTGCTGTGGCAGGGGAGAAGGTAGAGAGCCTGTGTGTTGTGGCAGGGGAGAAGGTAGAGAGTCTCTGTGTGTTGTGGCAGGAGAGAAGGTAGAGAGTCTTTGTGTGTTGTGGCAGGAGAGAAGGTAGAGAGTCTCTGTCTGTTGTGGCAGGAGAGAAGGTAGAGAGTCTCTGTGTGTTGTCGTAGGAGAGAAGGTAGAGAGTCTTTGTGTGTTGTGGCAGGAGAGAAGGTAGAGAGTCTCTGTGTGTTGTGGCAGGAGAGAAGGTAGAGAGTCTTTGTGTGTTGTGGCAGGAGAGAAGGTAGAGAGTCTCTGTGTGTTGTGGCAGGAGAGAAGGTAGAGAGTCTTTGTGTGTTGTGGCAGGAAAGAAGGTAGAGTCTCTGTGTGTTGTGGCAGGAGAGAAGGTAGAGAGTCTCTGTGTGTTGTGGCAGGGGAGAAGGTAGAGAGTCTCTGTGTGTTGTGACAGGAGAGAAGGTAGAGAGTCTGTGTGTTGTGGCAGGAGAGAAGGTAGAGAGTCTCTGTGTGTTGTGGTAGGGCAGAAGGTAGAGAGTCTCTGTGTGTTGTGGCAGGAGAGAAGGTAGAGAGTCTCCGTGTGTTGTGGTAGGAGAGAAGGTAGAGAGTCTCTGTGTGTTGTGGCAGGGGAGAAGGTAGAGAGTCTCCGTGTGTTGTGGCAGGAGAGAAGGTAGAGAGTCTCTGTGTGTTGTGGTAGGAGAGGAGGTAGAGAGTCTCTGTGTGTTGTGGCATGGAGAAAAGGTAAAGAGTCTCTGTGTGTTGTGACAGGAGAGAAGGAAGAGAGTCTCTGTGTGTTGTGGTAGGAGAGAAGGTAGAGAGTCTCTGTGTGTTGTGGTAGGGCAGAAGGTAGAGAGTCTGTGTGTTGTGGCAGGAAAGAAGGTAGAGAGTCTCTGTGTGTTGTGGCAGGAGAGAAGGTAGAGAGTCTCTGTGTGTTGTGGCAGGAGAGAAGGTTAAAGAGTCTCTGTGTGTTGTGGCAGGGGAGAGGGTAGAAAGTCTCTGTGTGTTGTGGTAGGAGAGGAGGTAGAGAGTCTCTGTGTGTTGTGGTAGGAGAGAAGGTAGAGAGTCTCTGTGTGTTGTGGTAGGGCAGAAGGTAGAGAGTCTGTGTGTTGTGGCAGGGGAGAAGGTAGAGAGTCTCTGTGTGTTGTGGCAGGAGAGAAGGTAGAGAGTCTCTGTGTGTTGTGGCAGGGGAGAAGGTAGAGAGTCTCTGTGTGTTGTGGCAGGAGAGAAGGTAGAGAGTCTCTGTGTGTTGTGGCAGGAGAGAAGGTAGAGAGTCTGTGTGTTGTGGCAGGAGAGAAGGTAGAGAGTCTCTGTGTTGTGGCAGGGCAGAAGGTAGAGAGTCTCTGTGTGTTGTGACAGGAGAGAAGGTAGAGAGTCAATGTGTGTTGTGGGAGGAGAGAAGGTGGAGAATCTGTGTGTTGTGGCAGGAGAGAAGGTGGAGAGTCTGTGTGCTGTGGCAGGGGAGAAGGTAGAGAGTCTCTGTGTGTTGTGGCAGGAGAGAAGGTGGAGAGTCTGTGTGTTGTGGCAGGTGAGAAGGGAGAGTCTGTGTGTTGTGGCAGGAGAGAAGGTAGAGAGTCTCTGTGTTGTGGCAGGGGAGAAGGTAGAGAGTCTGTGTGTTGTGGCAGGAGAGAAGGTAGAGAGTCTCTGTGTGTTGTGGCAGGAGAGAAGGTGGAGAGTCTGTGTGTTGTGGCAGGAGAGAAGGTAGAGGGTCTCTGTGTGTTGTGGCAGGAGAGAAGGTAGAGAGTCTCTGTGTTGTGGCAGGGGAGAAGGTAGAGAGTCTGTGTGTTGTGGCAGGAGAGAAGGTAGAGAGTCTCTGTGTGTTGTGGCAGGAGAGAAGGTAGAGAGTCTCTGTGTGTTGTGGCAGGAGAGAAGGTAGAGAGTCTCTGTGTTGTGGCAGGAGAGAAGGTAGAGAGTCTGTGTGTTGTGGCAGGAGAGAAGGTGGAGGGTCTGTGTGTTGTGGCAGGAGAGAAGGTGGAGGGTCTGTGTGTTGTGGCAGGGGAGAAGGTGGAGGGTCTGTGTGTTGTGGCAGGGGAGAAGGTAGAGAGTCTGTGTGTTGTGGCAGGAGAGAAGGTGGAGGGTCTGTGTGCTGTGGCAGGAGAGAAGGTAGAGTCTCTGTGTGTTGTGACAGGAGAGAAGGTAGAGAGTCTGTGTGTTGTGGCAGGAGAGAAGGTGGAGGGTCTGTGTGTTGTGGCAGGAGAGAAGGTGGAGGGTCTGTGTGTTGTGGCAGGAGAGAAGGTATAGTCTCTGTGTGCTTTGGCAGGGGAGAAGGTAGAGTCTCTGTGTGTTGTGGCAGGAGAGAAGGTAGAGGGTCTTTATGTGTTGTGGCAGGGCAGAAGGTAGAAAGTCTCTGTGTGTTGTGGCAGGTTGTGGGTCATCCCCACTTTGTTTCCAAGGGGAGGAGACTGTTCCTCACATGCCATGTTGGTGTTGCAGGTGTGGGCCATACCCACATGGTCTCCAAGGGGAGGAGGTTGTACCTCACATCCATTCTTGGTGTTGCAGGTGTGGGCCATGCCCACTTGGTCTCCAAGGGGAGGAGGTTGTTCCTCACATCCATTCTTGATGTTGCAGGTGTGGGCCATGCCCACTTGGTCTCCAAGGGGAGGAGGTTGTTTCTCACATCCATTCTTGGTGTTGCAGGTGTGGGTCATCCCCACTTGGTCTCCAAGGGGAGGAGACTGTTCCTCACATGCCATGTTGGTGTTGCAGGTGTGGGTCATCCCCACTTGGTCTCCAAGGGGAGGAGGCTGTTCCTCACATGCCATGTTGGTGTTACACTTGGTTTCCAAGGGGACGAGTCTGTTCCTCACATGCCATGTTGGTGTTACACTTGGTCTCCAAGGGGACGAGTCTGTTCCTCACATGCCATGTTGGTGTTACACTTGGTCTCCAAGGGGACGAGTCTGTTCCTCACATGCCATGTTGGTGTTACACTTGGTCTCCAAGGGGAGGAGGCTGTTCCTCACATGCCATGTTGGTGTTGCAGGTGTGGGTCATCCCCACTTGGTCTCCAAGGGGACGAGTCTGTTCCTCACATGCCATGTTGGTGTTACACTTGGTCTCCAAGGGGACGAGTCTGTTCCTCACATGTCATGTTGGTGTTACACTTGGTCTCCAAGGGGACGAGTCTGCTCCTCACATGCCATGTTGGTGTTACACTTGGTCTCCAAGGGGACGAGTCTGTTCCTCACATGCCATGTTGGTGTTACACTTGGACTCCAAGGGGACGAGTCTGTTCCTCACATGCCATGTTGGTGTTACACTTGGTCTCCAAGGGGACGAGTCTGTTCCTCACATGCCATGTTGGTGTTACACTTGGTCTCCAAGGGGACGAGTCTGTTCCTCACATGCCATGTTGGTGTTACACTTGGTCTCCAAGGGGACGAGTCTGTTCCTCACATGCCATGTTGGTGTTACACTTGGTCTCCAAGGGGACAAGTCTGTTCCTCACATGCCATGTTGGTGTTACACTTGGTCTCCAAGGGGACGAGTCTGTTCCTCACATGCCATGTTGGTGTTACACTTGGTCTCCAAGGGGACGAGTCTGTTCCTCACATGCCATGTTTGTGTTGCAGGTGTGGGCCATCCGTGTTGACATCCATGCTCTCAACTATGAAGGGAACCTGCTAGATGCTGCTAGTGTGGCTGCCATTGCTGCCATTGCTCACTTCAGGTAATGTCGAACCAGGTTTTCAAACCAAACTTTATTCAATACTTTCAGGCCATGGGTCTTTTCTACAAAGGGGACAATAATATAGAATACAACCTAAGATTTAACAATAGAAGTGTCTTCAGAAATTATGAGTAATTGGGTGTTATAAAAGTTGGAGTACTTGTGTTCTAACGGCATAAGTATGAATCAAGTTCTTTGCTGTATTGATATTGATAATAGAGTCTTCCGATGACAGCAGTGTATTGAACTATTAAAGTCAGGTTTTACAGGGAGTAGCAGTTGGATGTGCAAGGTAGTTTCAGAGAGAGTTACATAGAGGTGGGTCAGCCATTATGTAAAGCGTGAGCTGCTTCTGTTCAGTTAATAGCTTGACCAGTTTGCTTGTTGATGACACTGAAATATTATACAATTGACTCTGAAACATTCACATGGTTTTAGGGTTGTCACGATTCATCCGTTCACCTCGAATTATGATACAGTGTACGATACACCTTAGTCCTGCACCATGACTGTGGAGTATATTTATTTTATGAAAAAAAATAATCTAGAAATGCATACAAAAGCAAGTCTAGCCAGCTCAAGCTAGCTCTATTCCACCATCAGCATAGGGACTTTTTTTAATTTTTAGATTACACAATAAAAAAAATCTAAAAAGAGTCAAGAAGGATATTGTGTACTATAAGATTTCAGAGACTAAATGTTAGTCTAGATACACCTCATCAATTAATGTTATAATTCTCCATCAATCTTCAGGAAGTAATATTTACTATGTTGTGCAGTAACTCTGATAAGTACATGGACTAACTCTACCTAAATGCAAAATCTGATTGCATTAAACAGTTAGAACAAATGTACATAATGAAGCCATGCAAGTTAGACACACACTGGTTGATAGCCTCAACCCCTTGGTAGTTGAGTCACATTGAACACGGAGAATTTTTCTGAAAAATGTCGCCGATTTAGAATCTTGTTGTGACTCAAGAATCGTGATACTTATTGATATGAGAGGTAAGCCTAGCTAGACATCTTTCTGGGGTTTGTTGTCAGGCATCTATAGATATTATATTTAAGAATTGACTTCAATATGTACATGGAGGTATAAACATAGAAACCGATGTCCACACTTTCCATAAATCAACTACAAAACATATTGAATGCTTGAAAATAAATATGTCAACAATAATAACATCATAAAGTGGATATTCAATTTTTAATTAAAAAAACATCATTCAGCGCAATATAATGCAACACAAGCCCAACCCATTCTATTATCAGCCAATCAGGAAACAGTGAGTGAGAGAGTTTGGGTTAACGCCGCTTTTAACAGTATTTCAGTCATATCAGGGTGTGTCAGCTTCATGTAGGAGGGGAGCCCGAAGTGATGCAGGTCTCAGACGTTTACAGCATTGGTGAAACCCACGAGTTTGGGTACGGTGCTGACAAACCTGTAAACATAATCGGGATGAACCAAGATTCGAACCCACAATCATAGGTTTCTAGATGGCCATAGGGACGTAACTCTGTGAATTGCAGCGCCTTATTGACCGGGCCACAGTGTTCCCCAGGAAACAGTAGCAGTGGGCATGGCCTTTTGTGTTTGGTTTCTTTTTATAACCTAAAGACAAAAAATAGCTAATTAAATGCTTTGGAATCACTTGAACTCAATTTTTTTGGGCATGTTTCAGACGTCCCGACGTGACAGTTTCAGGGGAGGAGGTCACAGTGGTAGGTACTTATTGCTTGTTGAAGAATATGGCTGTCTGATTGGTCACACACTGGCTTGTATAAAACCTTGCATGACTGATATCTGGCCAATAATGAGGTCCTGGTGTTACCAACTTTGTTTGATGTAATGTCACATGCTTGTCTCAATTAGATTTGTCATACTCTAATATCATTCTCTACATGTCAGCTTCATTGTGTACCTGGGTAGGAGGTCTATAAATGGTCACAATGACCAAGGGGTCAGATGCCACCCTGCTGTCACCTTACTTTTGAATAACCAAGGGGCAGTAACTCTCAACTGTCGCCCTGCTGATGAATAACCAAGGGGCAGTAACTCTCAACTGTCAGCCTGCTGATGAATGACCAAGGGGCAGTAACTCTCAACTATAACCCTGCTGATGAATCATGCTCCTCACAGCGATAGTACGTTCCCGGAGCTCTCTATACTATCGCTGCCACCAGTCAAAACTCCCCACTGTGAATAGGTGGCCACAACCATGCTTGGAGTTGAACTCGCAACCGAATGACCGTTATGTTTACAAACAAGTGACGACTGTCGTGACGCCGAATACACTTATCGCTGCTAAAATACTTTCTTCGTTTGTCAATTTGAATTTCTGTTTCATTAAAACTATCGTGTTATTGATATAGTAAGAATGTAAGGGAGAAATTGGTTGATTTTCCGTTAGTCTGCAATCTCGAACCAATCTGATTACCAAAACAACAAAGTAAATTCATTTGGAAAATATGGTCAGTCGTAAACCTTTTCAAATTGAAATATGATGGCCTTCCCAAAGACATAAACAAAAGTATAAACATTACTACATATGGGGTTGGAGGGCAAATTTCAAGATTCTTGAAATGGCCGCGCCCACACTGGTGGCAGCGATGTTACCGAGAGTGTAACGAAGGTGTCACGCGCTGGGAAGGAGCTTGCTGATGAATGACCAAGGGGCAGTAACTCTCAACTGTCACCCTGCTGATGAATGACCAAGGGGCAGTAACTCTCAACTGTCACCCTGCTGATGAATGACCAAGGGGCAGTAACTCTCAACTGTCACCCTGCTGATGAATGACCAAGTGGCAGTAACTCTCAACTGTCACCCTGCTGATGAATGAACAAGGGGCAGTAACTCTCAACTGTCACCCTGCTGATGAATGACCAAGGGGCAGTAACTCTCAACTGTCAGCCTGCTGATGAATGACCAAGGGGCAGTAACTCAACTGTTACCCTGCTGATGAATGACCAAGGGGCAGTAACTCTCAACTGTCACCCTGCTGATGAATGACCAAGGGGCAGTAACTCTCAACTGTCACCCTGCTGATGAATAACCAAGTGGCAGTAACTCTCAACTGTCACCCTGCTGATGAATCAAGCTATTCACAACGATAGCCTGTTCGTGGAGCTCTCTATACTATCACTGCCACCAGTCAAAACTCCCCACTGTGATAATTGGTCACAACCATGCTTGGAGTTGGACAACAGACCGTTGTGCTTACAAACAAGCGATGACTGTCGTGAGGCCGAATACTCTTACTAAATTGTTTTCTTAGTTTGTCAATTTGAATTTCTATTTCATTTCAACATGTAATTGGTATGGTAATAATGTAACGGGGAATTTGAGTGATTTTCCATTTGTCTGCAATTTCGAACCAATCTGATCAAACAAGCAAGAAGTTAAATTCATCTGGGAAATAGGGTCAGTCATAAACCTTTTAAAAAATAACTGTATGCAAAAGTATAAACCTTACTACATTTGGGGTTAGAGGGCAAATTTCAAGATTCTTGTAATGGCTGCGCCTATACTGGTGGCAGCAATGTTAAAGAGGGTGTAAAGAAGGTGTCATGCGCTGTTTTACTGATGAATGACCAAGGGGCAGTCATTCTCAACTGTCACGACCGCCTCCGTGGTCTTGTGGTAGAGCGTCCCCCCGGAGAGCGGAAGGTCCAGGGTTCGATCTCGGGCCGCGTCATACAAAAAGACGTTAAAAGATTGTACTTGTTGTTACCCTGTCTGGCGCTCGGCATTAAGGAGCTAAAACAAGGACTGGTCGGCTCGGAGTCAGTATACTGTGTCTGAGTGGGGTATTCATGTTAAACTGCGGCATGGTATCTCAGTGAGCTAGCACTATAAATCGGCATCAGTCCGGACTAGTACAAGCAGCCACACACACACATACACGTGCATGCACGTCGCTATATAAGTGCAATAATCTTGGACGCGACGTTAAACCCAATTTCACCTCACCTCACCTCACCTCAACTGTCACCCTGCTGATGAATGAACAAGGGGCAGTAACTCTCAACCGTCACCCTGCTGATGAATGACTAAGGGGCAGTAACTCTCAACTGTCACCCTGCTGATAAATGACCAAGGGGCAGTAACTCTCAACCGTCACCCTGCTGATGGATGACCAAGGGGCAGTAACTCTCAACTGTCACTGCGACTCCGACACACCTAATTTGCAATCACTCATTAATCTCGTTAATCCGACACGGTGATCATCTGCCCGCGAGTACACAGCCCGTGTTATGATGCAAGACGAGTCGGCTGGCAGCTGCATATTACAACGGCTGCAGAGATAAACTTGCTTAACAACAAACAATTAATGCTTTAAATAAAGAAAACAGGATTTATTACATGCTTAGATTACCTCAATCTCATTAAAATCAGATACAAGTTCTCGCAATCGCCGAGGACATCCCATTACAGGTGGTCACGTCAGAATAACCTTTCCCAAATTATGACCGACCAATGAAATAACTAACAGGAAGTTAACATAAGCCACTTAGTAAGCAGCTTTCTTAGCTTTGCGGTACCAGTTTCAAACTTGCAACTTCCATTCCATTCCAGTATGAATAAGTCATACAAGTTGTTTTGTGTTGAGCTTTAGAAGTTGCATGATTAGAAAACATAATCCGTTAACAATGTAACATAACAATATGAATATTTCATTTATATTTTTTATTACCGTATATGACCGCGGATAAGCCGACCCCGTAGATAAGCCGAGGTGTTAATTTGACCATTGAAATACGAAAGAAAATGGTATGACCCGCAGATAAGCCGAACCAGGAATTAAAAGGCAAAAAACACTGCGAAGTCGGACTGCAAGACATGTGCCGGTACTCGCAGATATTCAAAAATATAAGATGAAAAACGTTGTAATTATATTGAAAAAGTCATTATTATTTCTAATAAAGATTTAACAAACCAGTCATCCACTTTCATAATGTGGGAAGCTGTTTCTCGTGGGTTTTTTTAATCTCATAATGATCGTTATATGTTGCCATCAACAACGAAGCGCCATTTTGTGAATCGGTGCATATAGAATTATGATCCCGTGAGAAAATATATCGACTAGTGCGAAGACGCGCAGTTTGAATTCAGCATCGTAAGCGTGGCGTTTTCGTTTCAAACTCATGATGAGAATGTCAGTCAGTAAAAATATACCAACTTTTATAACCCCCTTACACCACTATTGTATGTTAATCCAATTGAATTAAATAAACTATCATACTATGAACACATTGAATGACCATCACTTACTCACAGGCTTCTCCAGTTTAATAAACTAATCTCTCGAAAACAAAGGAATTAAGCCCCTACTCCCAACACGATCGCTAAGCACCCACAACTTGAAAATGTTTGTGTAAACAACATGACAATACCAATCGGCCCGTTATTATCAATGCTCATTTCCTTGTGTACCGTGTTGCTTTAAACAACAGGAAGCAATCACAGTGGTCACCGTTTGTGACGTCACAGGAAACAGCTGATCACATGTTTTTGCAAATGGCGAACGGAATAACTCGCAGATACAGTTGTTTATTTGCCTCTTTCAATAAAGGTAGACACTTGTTCACTATCAATTTATGAACTTTGCAAAACGTACGTAATAGCTATTGGCGATTTCATTTGGGGATTATATATTATAGCTGTGAATTACATATATTGTTACATGTAAAGATCGCGGAGTTTACGAAGAATGATAAACTTTGAACATTCAATTGAAAACTTATTATCGGAAGTAGTAACATGCATAACTTTTTTTTTAATAATGACAACATTGGTGTATAATAATAACTTTATTGATAATTTATAACAATAATGTCTCTAGTCGTGGCAACTTCCAAACTTTCGGGAAGTTGTTATCTAACGGACCGTCATTCAGGCGATGTTTTTGACCGATCACGATCTGAAAAATACTATCATGAAAGTGTATCCCGTGGATAAGCCGACCCCTTTCTACAGAATCTTTTTTCTGGTCCTCAAAATTCGGCTTATACGCGGTCATATACGGTACGTGTTTGTATCGTTATCTATCGTGTAGTTGTCCAATTTTCGATCACAAACGTTGATACTACTTTATTTCATTTATCCGACATACTCGTTAATCCAACACAATCATATGCAACAAACAATGTCGGAATAACGGGACTTGACTGTAGTTGAAATAAAATAGAAATTCAAATTGAAAATAAAAGAAAATAATTTAGTTGTGATAAGATTTTTCAGCATCATGATAGTCATCAGTTGTTTGTAACCATAACGGTCAGTCGGTTGCAAGTACAACTCTATGCATATTTGTGGGGAGCTTTGACTGGTGGCAGCAATTACGCTACTCTTGCCCAGACTTATATAAGGGCTGCTGTGATATATCTGGAGTATTGCAGAATGAACGTGGATGCAAACAAACAAGGATACTGTGGAAGGATACCTACTGTGTGTGAACTCACGGAAGAAATACATTTTCTGCTGGTTGTTGGGCCTGGTGTTGCCTGATGATATAGCTTGATGTGCAGTATCAGTTGTGGGTTTGTCTGTACCAGGCCTGACTATCTGTCACTTTCCTGTTACTTGATGTCTGGCTAATTGGTGATCCTAATGATATAGCTTGGTCCTCACAGCGTTATCCATTGACGACCACTGGCTGGGCTGACATATTGCTGACTCTGACAAGCACAGTTTCGTAAATCAGCATTTATGACTCACAAATTTGATGCCAGGCTCATGCTGATGTAGTGGGAATCAATACTGACTACATTACACCACAATCGTCATGTATTACTTTCAAAGTAAAGTAGCATATTGTATACTGTGTGTTCCAGCACAGCCCAGAGGAGCGAGACCCTGTACCCCTCAGTGTCCACCATATGCCCATATGCTGCACATTCGCCTTCTTCACGCAAGGGTAGGTCACGGTTAGGCCATGTGTACAAGGGGAGGTCATGTGTACAAGGGGAGGTCATGTGTACAAGGGGAGGTCATGTGTACAAGGAGAGGTCACGTGTACAAGGGGTGGTCATGTGTACAAGGAGAGATCATGTTTACAATGGGGAGGTCATGTGTACAAGGGGAGGTCATGTGTTCAAGGGGAGGCCATGTGTACAAGGGGAGGTCATGTTTACAAGGGGAGGTCATGTGTACAAAGGGAGGTCACGTGTACAAGGGGAGGTCATGTGTACAAGGGGAGGTCATGTGTACAAGGGGAGGTCATGTGTACAAGGGGAGGTCATGTGTACAAGGAGAGTGAGTGAGTATGGTTTTACGCCGCTTTTAGCAATATTCCAGCAATATCACGGCGGGGGACACCAGAAATGGGCTTCACACATTGTACCCATGTCGGGAATCGAACCCGGGTCTTCGGCGTGACGAGCGAACGCTTTAACCACTAGGCTACCCGACCGCCCCTGTACAAGGAGAGGTCACGTGTACAAGGGGATGCCATGTGTACAAGGGGAGGCCATGTGTACAAGGGGAGGCCATGTGTACAAGGGGAGGCCATGTGTACAAGGGGAGGCCATGTGTACAAGGGGAGGCCATGTGTACAAGGGGAGGCCATGTGTACAAGGGGAGGCCATGTGTACAAGGGGATGCCATGTGTACAAGGGGAGGCCATGTGTACAAGGGGAGGCCATGTGTACAAGGGGAGGCCATGTGTACAAGGGGAGGCCATGTGTACAAGGGGAGGCCATGTGTACAAGGGGAGGCCATGTGTACAAGGGGAGGCCATGTGTACAAGGGGAGGCCATGTGTACAAGGGGAGGCCATGTGTACAAGGGGAGGCCATGTGTACAAGGGGAGGCCATGTGTACAAGGGGAGGCCATGTGTACAAGGGGAGGCCATGTGTCCAAGGGGAGGCCATGTGTACAAGGGGAGGCCATGTGTACAAGGGGAGGCCATGTGTACAAGGGGAGGCCATGTGTACAAGGGGATGCCATGTGTACAAGGGGAGGCCATGTGTACAAGGGGAGGCCATGTGTACAAGGGGAGGTCATGTGTACAAGGGGAGGTCATGTGTAAAGGGGAGGTCACATGTACAAGGGGAGGTCACATGTACAAGGGGAGGCCATGTGTACAAGGGGAGGCCATGTGTACAAGGGGAGGTCACATGTACAAGGGGATGTCATGTGTACAAGGGGAGGCCATGTGTACAAGGGGAGGTCACGTGTACAAGGAGAGGTCATGTGTACAAGGGGAGGCCATGTGTACAAGGAGAGGTCATGTGTACAAGGGGGGTCATGTGTACAAGGGGAGGTCATGAGTACAAGGGGAGGCCATGTGTACAAGGGGAGGTCATGTGTACAAGGGGAGGTCATGTGTACAAGGGGAGGTCATGAGTACAAGGGGAGGTCATGAGTACAAAGGGAGGTCATGTGTACAAGGGGATGCCATGTGTACAAGGGGAGGCCATGTGTACAAGGGGAGGCCATGTGTACAAGGGGAGGTCATGTGTACAAGGGGAGGTCATGTGTAAAGGGGAGGTCACATGTACAAGGGGAGGTCACATGTACAAGGGGAGGCCATGTGTACAAGGGGAGGCCATGTGTACAAGGGGAGGTCACATGTACAAGGGGATGTCATGTGTACAAGGGGAGGCCATGTGTACAAGGGGAGGTCACGTGTACAAGGAGAGGTCATGTGTACAAGGGGAGGCCATGTGTACAAGGAGAGGTCATGTGTACAAGGGGGGTCATGTGTACAAGGGGAGGTCATGAGTACAAGGGGAGGCCATGTGTACAAGGGGAGGTCATGTGTACAAGGGGAGGTCATGTGTACAAGGGGAGGTCATGAGTACAAGGGGAGGTCATGAGTACAAAGGGAGGTCATGTGTACAAGGGGAGGCCATGTGTACAAGGGGAGGTCATGAGTACAAGGGGAGGTCATGAGTACAAGGGGAGGCAATGTGTACAAGGGGAGGTCATGAGTACAAGGAGAGGTCACATGTACAAGGGGAGGCCATGTGTACAAGGGGAGGTCATGAGTACAAGAATAGGCCATGTGTACAAGGGGAGGTCATGAGTACAAGGGGAGGCCATATGTTCAAAGGGAGGTCACGTCTACAAGGAGAGGTCATGGTGATACAAGAGTATGTACATTATGTTGCAAGATTAAATGTATGCTTGCAGAAATGGAAGGGCTTGCTTGTTTTTTTCCCTGAAACGGAATAAAATTATTTTTCATGTAAAGGCACATGTTTTGTAAAGGTTGGCAACTGTTTCTGTACAAACTGTTTCTGAATGTGTTTTGAAACATTAAAGTAATATGTTTTGCTAAACTTGACAGCAAGCACCTGTTGGTGGACCCAAGCCTGGTGGAAGAGAAGGTGATGGATGGAAAGATGGTGATAGGGATGAACAAACACCGGGAGATCTGTATGCTGCAGATTACTGGAGAAATGCTGCTACTCAAGGAACAGGTGCTTGTTTTGTTTGCTCCCTCTTTAGTGTAAAGATTCACCCAAGTGTCTGTGTACTGGCTGAAAAAAACGGTTGGCGGTGTTTCCATTGTCTAAGGCTTTGCTATTTACTGTGCAGGGTTATCTCCCTTGATCATATCGGGTCCAAGTTTTGGTTTCAGATCCTACATTACGATCGTTGGCTTGTCACCACCATACCTATGCTTGGGGTTTTCCCCAATGTGGTGAACATCTACAACTTTGAATGGCATTTACTCATGAGGAAGAGAATTATGGATGTCAATTTCTTTAACCTCATAAAATCCAAAAATTCAATTCATCTTCCCTAACATCTAAGACATATATCCCTTTGGGCTTCCAATTCAAGTCGATGTAACAGAATAATGTTTCAACAACTCTCAAAACTTTCTGGACATCTTTAGGAAGATTTGTACAATAACGTTCACATTTAGAGAACTTAAGTGAGTAGGTTTTGTTACAGAAGTATTGCTTTCAAAACTGGATTGTTTGGGTTTTGCAAAGTGATCCAGCTATAGGGCCTTTTTCATTATACACAAGTACATGTACATCAAGCTACGAGGGTGTCTATTACTGTTTGGGTAGTTTTAAACCTTCACTTTCAACTGATTTAGACTGTCTGTCATACGAAGGTCAAGTGTTTCACCTAGTGAATATGACTGAAAACAATAGTCTTCGGAAAAAATCATCTTCCACGTAAAAATATAATCAAAAGATTTTCAAAAAGGCCAGTTACAACCCTTGCCGAACAAGGCTGGGATTCCGGAGTTACATTTTGGCTGGACCAACAAGTCTATGCATAGTCCAATCAACATTGTGTAACAAACACGATGGATTTCGGTCAATTGCAGGATTTGCAAAACATGTGTACCACCAACTGGTAGGCAGATATTTTGCAATTTTTTCATGTTTTTAATGTGATTTGTTTCCCTTTCCCGGGGGGGCGGTCGGGTAGCCTAGTGGTTAAAGCGTTCGCTCGTCACGCCGAAGACCCGGGTTCGATTCCCGACATGGGTACAATGTGTGAAGCCCGTTTCTGGTGTCCCCCGCCGTGATATTGCTGGAATATTGCTAAAAGCGGCGTAAAACCATACTCACTCACTCACTCCCTTTCCCGGGGTAAGACCTGTTTTACTACAATAATGATCTTGATTATCAATCAGATCCACTTGAATGGGCGCCGCCATTTTGTTTGAAGCAAATGCAAGTGATATGAGAGAAGGAATCTGACTAGTGGCGCTACGATCGAGCCTTGAAATTCCAGCCTAGTTCAGCAAGGATGGAAACTGGACTTTCATCGTCAGTTAACACTCTTGCCTCGGGAAGATGTGCTTCCATCTTGTGGATTGCCTGGGCCTGGAATTCCTGGATGTCCAAACATCTTAGCAGACGCTCTATCCTGGCCAGGCAAGGTGGCTCCCACAATGAAAAGTTCATCCTGAGACCTTCAATCTCGAGGAACAACATCGACCCCACTGCAGCATCCCCTCAATTCTTGGCTGAATACCTGTTGTACCTGCACATTCCACACACCCTAAGGGAGGTACCATCACAACCTACCTGGTGGCCATTAAAACAGGGTTGACGGTTCCAGAGGATCGAAAAATGACAAAGGTTCCGGAACTGCAGGCCCTCCTGTGTTCCCTCTGCCTTGAGAATCGATCAGAAGGCCAGGTCTCGACCACTGCGTGGGATCTAAACATGGTATTTCGGCGTCTGCTTGGACATCTGTTCACAGCAATTGCTCCATCAGATCCATCATGGTCATTGCAAGCCACTACCTGATGCATGAAGGCTTCCAGGTTTGGTCGTCACCCAGCAGTTCACCATTTAAAGACGTCAGTAACCTCTCCACCTATCTGGATCACATCTGCCAACCGCCGCACTTTCCGATTCAGATGCAATAAGGAGTAATGCGGGATAAGGTTAAAAAATTAGTAAAATCAAAATATGTTTTACATTTGTATCGGGGCCACCCGTTGCAGAGCTGCCTCTCCCACAATGTCTTGACCTTATGTTCCAGCAGTAATGTGAGGATGTGTGACGTCATCACATCCGTTAGCGCAGTGCAATAGGGACTGCCTCACAACTGGTTGGAACAACTTCTTCTTCAGCACTACTTCATGCAGCTTCGTTTCCTGTCAAAGAAAGCAGTAAATCCTTTACATGCGACAAGTATACAAATGTAATAAATATTTAGACATTACTACCGGGGTAATTATGTAAGTGCTTACTGGAGGATCATTTAACTGAAATAATATGTTGCCTTGTCAGGAAAAGTTTCCTGATGGAATATATTTGCTTTTACTTACTTTTACTTTACTTTTACCTGAATTGTATCTTGCAACACAATAATTTTGTTTTTCCTTTTGCAGGTGTTGAGGTGTTCAAATATAGCAGTTGTCAAGGTAACAGAAATATCAGAACTCATCCTGAAGGCTCTGGAGAATGACAGAGTAGCAAGGTCAGTTGAAACAGTGCTATTCAGCAGTATTCTGAAGTATGACACAGCTAGTCAGCAGTATTCAGAAGTATGACACAGCTAGTCAGCAGTATTCTGAAGTATGACACAGCTAGTCAGCAGTATTCAGAAGTAGGACACAGCTAGTCAGCAGTATTCTGAAGTATGACACAGCTAGTCAGCAGTATTCAGAAGTAGGACACAGCTAGTCAGCAGTATTCTGAAGTAGGACACAGCTATTCAGCAGTATTCAGAAGTAGGACACAGCTAGTCAGCAGTATTCTGAAGTATGACACAGCTAGTCAGCAGTATTCTGAAGTATGACACAGCTAGTCAGCAGTATTCAGAAGTAGGACACAGCTAGTCAGCAGTATTCAGAAGTAGGACACAGCTAGTCAGCAGTATTCTGAAGTATGACACAGCTAGTCAGCAGTATTCAGAAGTAGGACACAGCTAGTCAGCAGTATTCAGAAGTATGACACAGCTAGTCAGCAGTATTCTGAAGTATGACACAGCTAGTCAGCAGTATTCAGAAGTAGGACACAGCTAGTCAGCAGTATTCTGAAGTATGACACAGCTATTCAGCAGTATTCAGAAGTAGGACACAGCTAGTCAGCAGTATTCAGAAGTAGGACACAGCTAGTCAGCAGTATTCAGAAGTAGGACACAGCTAGTCAGCAGTATTCAGAAGTAGGACACAGCTTGTCAGCAGTATTCAGAAGTAGGACACAGCTAGTCAGCAGTATTCTGAAGTATGACACAGCTAGTCAGCAGTATTCAGAAGTAGGACACAGCTAGTCAGCAGTATTCAGAAGTATGACACAGCTAGTCAGCAGTATTCTGAAGTAGGACACAGCTATTCAGCAGTATTCTGAAGTATGACACAGCTAGTCAGCAGTATTCAGAAGTAGGACACAGCTAGTCAGCAGTATTCTGAAGTATGACACAGCTAGTCAGCAGTATTCTGAAGTATGACACAGCTAGTCAGCAGTATTCTGAAATATGACACAGCTAGTCAGCAGTATTCTGAAGTATGACACAGCTAGTCAGCAGTATTCTGAAGTATGACACAGCTAGTCAGCAGTATTCTGAAGTATGACACAGCTAGTCAGCAGTATTCTGAAATATGACACAGCTAGTCAGCAGTATTCTGAAGTATGACACAGCTAGTCAGCAGTATTCTGAAGTATGACACAGCTAGTCAGCAGTATTCTGAAATATGACACAGCTATTCAGCAGTATTCTGAAGTATGACACAGCTATTCAGCAGTATTCTGAAGTATGACACAGCTAGTCAGCAGTATTCTGAAGTATGACACAGCTAGTCAGCAGTATTCTGAAGTATGACACAGCTAGTCAGCAGTATTCTGAAGTATAATGTTACACCTCAGTAAATGTATGCTGACCTGAATCAGCAAAGTGCCATCAGTATTTTGGAGTATGCTGTTTGTATTCAGTCGTGTGCCACTAACAGTATGATTCTATGACAGGGCATCGGGTGAGAAATGTGGCTTTGCTGAATCCGTGGAGCCAAAGAAAATAACCACTACAAAGACAGACCGGCAGGATGTTGACATGGAGGAAGATGCAGCAGACAAGATGGCAGAGGCATCACACAGTAGTGACGATGATATGCAGATTGCCAGGTGAGTTCTTCGAAGCAGTAAGCTGTAAGACCGTCCCATGACAAGCCATTTCAGACTAGCAATTGACTGGGTCATGGGTGGGAGGTTAGCCTAGTGGTTATAGTGTTGGTTCATCACGCCTAAGACCTGGGTTTCATTCCCAACAAGGTTACAAAGTGTCCTTGAATGTGAATGTCCAGAATATCACCAAGAGGGGCATATAACCGTACTTTATTTAAGATTCAGTTGAATATTTTATGCACTTACTGACTTGCTTATTTACCTCCCGTGGGGATTCGTGTTAGTACTAGCCCCCGGCAACTTAAGCTGGTCATGAGAGGCGATCTAATGGATCGGTTGGTCAGACTGTGAGTTGGTTGATTGTGTGTCATTGTACCCTGACAGTGTGCATCGTTGCTCGCAGTATCAATCATATGCAGTGAGTGAGTCAGTGCGTGCATCTTCCCAAGGCATGGGAGTTATCTGACAATAAAAGTCCACTTTCCACCAGTTAACTACAATATTAATATTAGTCACACAAAAATATAAAAATGCTATTACCTCACAATATATTATTGAAATCAAAGTGTACAGTCGTTTGTCGTTTGCTGAACAATATTTCAAATGTCAGGTAACGCTACTAGCATTAGTTTCATAACAGTTTAGGTTAGGGTTGGTACTAGGTTTGGTGATATGTTAATTTTATTATTTACTACAGTCAAACCTTGTTATCTCGAACACTGATAATTACCCGTGTCTTGAACCTATTCTCCTCCTGCCTCAATATATCTCAAATAAAAGGCGACTATGCTTGTCATAAAAGGCGACTAACGGGATCGGGTGGTCAGGCTCGCTGACTTGGTTGATACATGTCATCGATCCCAATTGCGTGGATCGATGTTCGTGATATTAATCACTGGATTGTCTGGTCCAGACTTGATTATTTACAGACCGCCATCATATAGCTGGAATATTGCTGAGTGCAGCGTTAATCAACAAACCAACCAACCAACCAAACGTTATCTCAAATGTCCGGATATCTCGAAGTTACAACACGGTCCCGTTATGTTCGAGATTTAGGATTCGACTGTATGTGTGTTCTGGAGTTTTTATCCAGTCTTGTAACATTTCAGACCAGGGGATAGTTCTGAAGTCAAAGTCCTGGTAAGTATAACGGTTTCAGTTAATACTGTAGTGAATATGTAGACGCATAACATAGAACACTAAATGGTTTATTAATTTTAATAGTTTTGTTTTCTTTCAAACAAATACGTACTTTATGTCCTTACGGAGCAATGAAATAAATAATTGTGTCACTCTGATATTGGATGCAGCTAACGTTGCCTATGTCCTTTACTCACTGAATGCTGAATATCACAATGAGCCTATTTTGGGTCAACATGTTTTCAGCAATGAAGACAGAGCTGACTCATAGCTAGCAATGTGTATATTCTTTCAATGCAGTGTTTTTGTTACAGATGCGTTTTATCTAGCAAGTTGTAATGGGACTTGGGGGGCATGGGAGGCCCAGTCTAAGGCACCGCAATAGTTGTGCAGAGTTGCGTCCCTTAAGTTTGAATCCCGGTTCGCTCCAAATATGTTTCTAGGTTTGTCAGCACCATACCCGTGCTCGTGGGTTTTCCCGAAGTGGTAAAAATCTGAGACCTGTATCCCTTCAGGCTTTCCTCCCACATTAAGCTGACACGTCGTGATATAACTGGAATACTGTAAAAAGGGCGTTAAACCCAACTGTAATGGTACTAGCATCTGTACCAAAATGTCACAAGAACAGAGAAGTTGATATTCATAAGTCAGTTGATGCTACAGCTTCTTAAGACCGTGTTTTCATCACTGTAAACTGATCCGATTCTCCCAGTTCTGATGTTTCCTGCCTATCATTAGTTGCTTGTACTGCTGATATTTTCAACCACTTGTCATCAACATCCAGACACCTTGATACAAGGTTATGATGACTGTATGCAGGTATCCTTTAGCCCTGTTTTCACTGTGTTCCAGGACAAGGGCCTAGCTGCTATTGGAGAGGGAGGTCAGAATACGTGGGACATGGACGACGATGCTGCGACAGAAGCCGTGGCAGATGCTGCTGCTGCTGCGACCTCATCACGTCTACAGGGCAAGGGAGACAACCAACATCAAGGTAGGATGCAATGGAATCAACAAGAGGTTCATAGAGGTTTTGTGATCAATACAAGGACACTCTGTGACTTCCTGATTAGTTAGGGGCGGTCGGGTAGCCTAGTGGTTAAAGTGTTCGCACGCCCAGCCAAAGACCCGGGTTCGATTCCCGACATGGGTACAATGTGTGAAGCCCATTTCTGGTGTCCCCCGCCGTGATATTGCTGGAATTTTGCTAAAAGCGGCGTAAAACCATACTCACTCACTCAACTCACTCCTGAATAGTTATAGAAGATTTATAGAATATTTGGTGTTGACATTGAAGTAAGGGAATAATTCTTCACTTTCTGTATGCAGCAGTTGCCCCTATGGGATTGTAGGGTCCCCAGTTATATATGCTTGTAAGAATCAGCTGAAATGGATTGATATGGATTGAGTGGTCAGGGTCTGTGACTTGCTGTTGATGGCATGTTACTGTCCTTATGGCATGGATCGGTCGTCAGGCTTTCAATGACTTGAATACAAGGCTTATTGGTTTAGGCTGGAATAGTGCTGAGCGTAGCCTTAACTACGTTCACTCACTCGCGTATATATTCATCACTCTCAAATCCTCATATTGGCATATTATCATCTCATTTCAGTCATTGACCTTGACAGTGGCAGTGAAGAGGAGACAACTGTGACGCTGAGTCATGATGACCTTCAGACTCACAGGTGTGTACCTGGGAGGGGGTGGGAGTTGACCTTCAGACTCACAGGTGTGTACCTGGGGTTGGGAGTTGACCTTCAGACTCACAGGTGTGTACCTGGGTTGGGAGTTGACCTTCAGATTTACAGGTGTGTACCTGGGGGTGGGAGTTGACCTTCAGACTCGCAGGTGTGTACCTGGGGTTGGGAGTTGACCTTCAGACTCACAGATGTGTACCTGGGTTGGGAGTTGACCTTCAGACTTACAGGTGTGTACCTGGGGGTGGGAGTTGACCTTCAGACTCGCAGGTGTGTACCTGGGTTGGGAGTTGACCTTCAGACTCACAGGTGTGCAGCTGAGGTTGGGAGTTGACCTTCAGAGTCACAGGTGTGCACCTGGGGGTGGGAGTTGACCTTTCAGACTCACAGGTGTGCAGCTGAGGTTGGGAGTTGACCTTCAGAGTCACGGGTGTGTACCTGGGTTGGGAGTTGACCTTTCAGACTCACAGGTGTGCAGCTGAGGTTGGGAGTTGACCTTCAGACTCGCAGGTGTGCAGCTGAGGTTGGGAGTTGACCTTCAGAGTCACGGGTGTGCACCTGGGGGTGGGAGTTGACCTTTCAGACTCACAGGTGTGCAGCTGAGGTTGGGAGTTGACCTTCAGACTCGCAAGTGTGCAGCTGAGGTTGGGAGTTGACCTTCAGAGTCACGGGTGTGCACCTGGGGGTGGGAGTTGACCTTTCAGACTCACAGGTGTGCAGCTGAGGTTGGGAGTTGACCTTCAGAGTCACGGGTGTGTACCTGGGTTGGGAGTTGACCTTCAGACTCACAGGTGTGTACCTGGGAGGGGGAGGGAGTTTTGACTAGTTGACCAGCATCCCAAGGAGAGGGCGAGTTAAAATTTAACACTGAATCAGCATTATTTCACCCATCTATAGCAACAAGAACAGGCTGATATATAGGCTGAGTCATAAATACAAAGTTATGTTTAAAACCATATTTGGGCACAACAATATTATTTATAACTGTTCAGATCAGTGACGAACATGGGCCTATTAATTTTCTAGTCTAGGAGACTCCCAGTTGTTATTTGGGGAGGGCATGAAGAGAAGTCCAGTAGTGCCGACTTGCAGCATGCTTCACTTGATACTGATAGCTTTGCACGTTCCGAACCCTAAAGCATATTGTAGATGTTAAAAAAAGTCCCCACTGATACTGAGTGTTTTTCTTACCCTTCCATTCATTTACACGTAATGTGCAAATGATTAGATGCAAGGATTCAAAGAGGCATACCATTTCCGGCCGCCAGGACTCATAATATACTACTTAAAATGATCCTTTATTGTTTTATTAAATTTGTTGTTTTATTACTTTGTAATTTCTTTGCATCCATTTCGTCACGATATGGCTGAAATATTGCCGATGTGACGTAAAGCATTACCTCACTCACTCCCTTTGCATCCATTCTCTATGTCTATGCGTACAGAATTTATCTCCTAGATACCTCAATCACTCTCCATCTTTGATAATCCAGGGTATTATATTTCCTTGTTTGTTTGTTGTTTAACACCACACTCAGGAATATTCCAGCTATATGACAGCGGTCTTTAAATAATCGATGACTTGCATCAACAAAGTCAGCAAGCCTGACCACCCGATCCTGTTAGTTGCTTCTTACAACAAGCTTATAAACCTATTCATTGGGATCGCTATTAAGTAAGAGACTTCTTTCTGTAGGCATTAAAACCTATTGTGAGGTTTTACTTTCCAGTTGGGTTAAATCTCATAAACAGTGATGTTGTAATGTCCCTGGGATATTATATAAAATCCCAGGGACATTACCAGTTTTATATAATGTCCTGGGTATTTTATAAATATAACTTCCGTTCAGATTGTAACATGTAATGAAATGTAAAATCAATGACAAATGTTTTCTTTATATTCCCGAGGATCAAACTTGCAACCTTCATATCTGTAGCCCAGTGAGTGTAACACGAGGCTACAGAGGTGTTGATAAGCCTCACTGTTTTTTAGAATGTCCTTTTCAAGATCCGTATGCCAGCAACAGATATTTTCCGTTTCCTAAGGTTCATGGAAAGTATGTTCGAAACATAAAATGTTGATAAATGTTGTTTTCAGTTTCTTTTTTCGGTTTATAAGCATGGAAAGACACTTTCCCTCGATTTTCGTAGACAGAGCATGCCCTTGGGAGAGGGAAAAGCCAATACATAGTCACCTTTTACGTCATATCTCCTTGTAAATACCCTAGACCCAATCTGTCATAGCTTCATGACATCATTATCTCTATCACTAACTTATCACTCAGGAGAGGCAAGTATATTTGACAGTGTGCCATTTGAATCAGAATCTGATAGCAAAGGGGTCCAGGGTATTTATCCTAATAGAAAGGAGATATAATCCCCTGATAATGGAGGATGACCCTTCTCACACCAAGTCTGTGTAGCCATGTGTAGCATATGTCCATCTTCTTTCACAGGCCCTCAACGTCGCCAGCACAACCGGCAAGTGGAAAGTCTGAGGCCAAAAAGGGAAAGAAGAAGAAAAAGAAATAATGTCACAGTAGCTCCATGTACATTCTCATTGTATAAATCCTCTTCATACCATAGAGCTTGTCTTGTTTCTGTGGATACTTTGACATCATACAAATAATTATCAAGGTTCTTATACGAAAACAAGGACCTACCCCTGAGGTGGTTTGACCAAACTGAAATTCACTTAAAGATTATGAAGTCTTTAAACCGTCCTCTGTTTCGTTACAGCAACTTAGCTGCGAACCTTAAAATGTTTGTACAAGACACAATCTTGTTTTCTGTCACATGATTCGGGGACTTCATTGAAATGTATTGTATCATAGCGTGGTACGGATTAACCAATGGAATTGCAAGATTCTCAACAGAGATATAAGATTAGCATATGTTAACTGCAATGCAGTAGTGGCACTGACGCAGAGTATGGCCTGACATAGTTCAGCGACTCATTATGCTGAGGTTGATGACCTCAGTGATGGAGCAGCCATTTTGTCTTCAGCTGCATTTGACAATAGGTTGGTTGTTGGTTGGTTTGTTGTTTAATGCCGCACTCAGCAATATTCCAGCTATATGACGGCAGTCTGTAAATAATCATCGAGTCTGGACCAGACAATCCAGTGATTGATATGAACATCAATCCGCGCAATTGGGATCTATGACATGTATAAACCAAGTCAGCGAGCCTGACAACCCGATCCCATTAGTCGCCTTTTACGACAAGCATAGTCACCTTTTACGGCAAGTATGGGTTGCTGAAGACCTATTCTACCCCTGAATCTTCACGGGTCTTTGACAATAGGTCACATGACACGTTGGAAACCCAGCTAGGAATTACTGGAACAGCTGGATTCATCTGGGACCTATTTTGTTCTTGTTCTACAACACGGCTAGAGGCATGTGATGCAGTATCACACGGCATTGCTGATAGGCAGATGGCTAACAACTACTGACAGCTCCATGTTGACACAACTGAACTGATCATTCTTTCTTCCAAATTTGACAGGCTCAAGATGTTCTCCCTTAATATCACCATTGGCATCTGTCATTACGCCAGCACAAGCTCGTAATTTGGGTGTTTCTTCTCTCAGCCCGAAATGCATGTAAATACCATCTGTCAATGTTCCAATTTCACATCAGGAATATGACGAGGTAGACCAGCAGAAGCTACTCATACACACATAGGTTATATCCTGTCTAGATTACTGTAACGCTTTATGGGTTCCCAGGGCGGTCGAGTAGCCTAGTGGTTAAAGTGTTAGCTCGTCACGCTGAAGACCGTGGTTTGATTCCCAACATGGGTGCAATGGGTGAAGCTAATTTGTGGTGTCCCCTGTCGTGATATTGCTGGAATATTGCTAAAAGCAGCGTAAAATCAAACTCACTCACTCTATGGCTACCTACAGCAAGAGGAATTTAGCAGCATGAGCAGCTACATTCAAATGATTGTTTGAGCACATCATACCAGTGGTTGCCAGTCCACCAGCAAAAAGCATTTTGACTACGTGTTCTTGTGTTAAAAGCCCCTCCACGGTCTGGCACCTGTGTAACTTGTACAGTCGCCAGCCCTAATGATCACTGAGGTCTTGTGATCCAAACATGGTCGTTATCATGCCATCAAGGTCCAGGGCATTAGGTGACAGACAGCAGTGTCATATCTGTGGAATAATCTACCTATGCCTAAAGAATAAACCAAAATCACTGAAAACATCTTTTGAGCAGGCCTATGAAATGTAGACTTGATCGCTTTTTCAAGACATTACTCAGACTCAAGACACTTTGGAGCAGTAGTTTAATGAATATACATCTGTATAGTGCGTATATCAAGTAATGAGTTGGCAGTGGCAGCATAAAGATGTGGGTGAAAAAAATGTTTTAAAATTCCTGAAATAGCACCACTTCAGCCCTTGATTAATACACCTGGTTTGGATGAAAAATGTCGAATTGCTTTTGTTCTGCTCAAGAACCTACCCCATGTTCAGCTAAGTCTAACATGTTTCCATGGAAGCAGGGAAAAATTAAATGTGGAAAATTACTCAATAGTACCATTTAGTAAAGAACACCTACACAGGCGCCGTACACCTTTGGTCAAATCCAACTTCTGCAGTTCATTGACACATTTATATAAAAGGTCTGCCGGGCAAAAACAAAGTATACACCCGTCTTTCATGGTGTCTAAAAAAGGAAACAAGAAATTGTTATTTGATGATGTATTGGATATGGGCATCAGATGTTTTGCAGTGTTTCAGCAACTTGTTTTCAGACGTTTGTAATTTGTCAAATCCAGTTTAAGCATACTTTGTCTGGAAGTTTTTGAAGACTTTGGAAGACTGGACCATCGGATTTTCACTCTTGGCAACCCCCATTAAAATTAGTAAAACAAGAAATAGCGATATCACTGTCCCAAGCCATGGGACACATGAGAATTCATATATTGTGAACATAATCTATTGAAAAGTCATAAAACCTAAAAGACACTCAGGCCGATGTGTCGACAAAATAATTTCCGGTAATATGAAATTACACAAAAAAGGTCCCATCTCCAATAAATGGCACCAATTCTTGAACTCTGTATTGACAAATATCTTAGATGATCAGGCAAACTTTCATTCATGTTACATCAGCAGTTTGAAAAAAAACTTGTTCCAATTTCATGCAGTAGTCAGCAAGCTGAAAAGCACTGAGCAAAGAACATAACCTGTAATACAGTAATCGACAGGACCAATTTTCAACTCATTGAGATCATGAGCAGTAAGTGTAAAATTTTATTTCTCAAACTTAAATAGTTTAAGAAAATTAGACCCCTTCGATGTCAACATGTTTTTTCACCTTTGGACCCCAATTATATAGTTGCAACTGAAATTGTCTTTCAGGCAGGGACTGGACTCCTCCAATCCACGCTTCATGCCGACTTCTGAATCTTGTGTGCAATCTAAAGTGCAGTTTACAGAAAGGTTCAAGATGTGCATTGAGAAAAGATAGAGAAGATGTCATGCATTTTTGTTCAGCTCGGCATCTGCAGGTGTAGATTTGTGAAATATGAATGACTAGGAACAAGTTATTTATCATACTTTGTACACTTTATTCAGTTGATATACATAACATCTTACAGAAATAAGATGCCCTAAAATAATACAGTAAAATGTACATGGTCCTCCTTAACTCCTGAAACTTAACTGTACATAATGCACCATAACTGGGTGATGTCGGAATAGCACTAGATTTGATAGAACAAAGGTAGGCCAAGTTGGGAAACAGATGACAGACGAAAGATAAGATAACCTCAGCTGGTCTACGAAAAAAGGGAAATGGACAGAAAAAGAAGGCGAAGTTAAGAAAACGAAATATAAAGAATTCAGGAATGTTTTATTCAGTTAAAGTCAAGGGGAAGAGCATGGTCTGAATGAATATCATCAAGCCAGGTCACTTTGAATTTTCTTTTTTCGTGATTGTTATGTCTACTGTTCAGAGTCAATGTCGCATACAAAACATACGTCATTAAAAATCTGATATAAAAGCTAAGTTAAGATCTTGGGTTAAAAATTTAAGGACCTGATTTAGGGTTATTTGACCTGATTCCATTCACGCAAACAAATTCTCATGAATAAAACTTACATGTGCATGCCTTATGTACAGTGCCATATAAAACGTCAATTTGTAAAAGCATTCAAGACATTTCATCAAGCGCTCACTCAGTCACTCCCGATTCACACATTCTAGATTATGAAATGCATTATTGCACAGACGAGCATGACATGGTTGATAAAATGAATTTCCAGATGAACTAAAAAGGTTAAATAAGAGGATATAAACAACTGGGTTGGCTCCTGATAGAGTCTATGAACACACTGGAGAGATGATAGTGTACAATGTACAATGATATTTGGATTGTTTGGCCTCTGAAAGCTCGTTGGGTTAATACTGGCAGCCTTTTCACGGCACAAGGGAGAGGGTTTCTGGTGGACTGAGCAATGAGACTTGATGGTATCTGAAACAAGGAAACAATGTAAGTGGTGGTAGATCTAAATAATATGAATGTTTGGAGTATTTGACGTCTTGATGCAGAACCATAGGCAATCATATTGCTGATAAATATACCAAATATACGCTCTCCATTTTGCTAAGTTGAAATGGCATGTTTCTAATTTTATGATCAAGGAAGAAATATTTCACAGTAAATCATCCAGTCTGCAACACCAATACTTTTACATGGGCGTGTGACAGGAAAACATGTAGATACCAGAATATTCTAAAATACTGAAGTTTATTTTACTCAATTTAGGACATTTATATCAAAACCATGTTAAACTGAAGTATCCCTTAATATATGTACAAGGTTCATACAGACATGGAACACAAATGGCTTGTGTCTTTTGGCTTAAGTTGGGTTTATAAGCATTAGTTTTGTAAATATCTTAAAATCCAACATATATTAGTTGCAAAATCTAAACAAATGCAGTCGGACATATTTTGTACAAATCCAAGGCTTTAATGTTTACACTAAAACCATGAAATAAATCTTGGCTTTGCAAGAGGGACCTTAAATTCAAGCCTGTATGAACCTTTTTGTTAAATATTGGGGATATCGATTGATGCAAAAAATAACTTACTTTGGTGCCCTGTATTTCTCCCTGATGGCCTGCTGTGGATGACTTGTTGCATTGCAGAATGTTCTGTACAGATGTTTCAGTGTTTCTGCCAGCTGTGTGAGGCTGTACCTTGTTTGACTTTCTAGTGATGACGGCTGAAACAAGGAGACAATGTAACATCTATGCTATGAAGGTGTTTTCAATATGTTAAGTAGTTAATGTGAAGAGAATCAGAACAAGGCTTACACATAGAAGTGTACGACAGACTGTCACTGAGGCAAGAAGACACATGATCTTACCACCTGATCCTCTTTAGCTAGAACCCTTTCAGACCATAGATATACAGGTTATAGTATGAAAGTTTGATATGTTAAATAAGTCCATTACAAAAAAAAGGAGGTGTTAACATACAAAATGCAAAAAACAGGTTGATAATCATGATGAAATTTACTGCTACAGTTGAAAACCAATGCTCAGAAAAGCCAGAAATT